TTGGTACAGACTACGTAAATTTTGTCTTGATCTTGATTCTGGGGCTTTGAAAACATAAGTGGTTTCGAGCGTAAAGAAGTGAATCAAATTGTTTTTTTTATAAGTTTCGTGTAAATAAAGTTACTTTTTGTATCTTCTATTCAATAAATTCCACAGTTAAGGGGGTATTCCCAATCTTTTGCCTTTTTTCGCCTGTTTTTCAATTAATTTTTTTTTTCAAGGAAAATGAATAGTAATGCGCCTAACTCTTTGGGATTATTGTTTATTGAACATTAAAGTTTACAAATAAATTTTTTTTCGACATAAAAAAAGACATTATTGACGTCGCAAAATGGCGGCAAACAGACCCCTGTTCGCCGCAAACGCCTGGACGGGCGAAGACTTTTCTCTGGAACGGCTTCATCTGAAACAGATTTCGTGATGAAATTAATAATCTGCATAAGATTCTCTGGAGCTTCTCCCGTTGGCAGCAAAAAATCTTGCAAATTAACTTAATGGCGGCCATATGAAAAAACAGGCGATTTTTAGCCCGCTTTTTTGCAGCTTTAAGGTGCTTCAAACAATGTTAAATGTTAATATTTTTGGCTGAAAGTGGGAGAAGCTCCAAAGAATTTAATAAGGAACAAAATGCGCAAAGATTCAAGTCAATATCTCTTATAGTTTCTGAGAAAAATCTTCGCCCGATAAAAAAATGTGGTTTCGAGAAAAACGCGTTTAAAGTTTTGACTTTAGTTAAAACCATTTGGGGGTTCTTACCATTAGTCAGCTATGCCTGGACACCGAATTCGCTGATCGGAAAACGGCTTGGGGGGATGAAAGTATATAGTCTAAAGTACAAAAAAAAGTGAAAAACAAAAATTTGATTTTTTGAAAAAAAAAGATCGGGAATACCCCCTTAAGGATCGCTTTCAGTTGACTAACATGCTGATTGGCTGATCCATGATTGTAAGATGAGTTTACAACGTATATAATTAATCAAAACTCTACCATAAATATTTATGGTTCGGTTATGACTATACATATAAAGTGACCCATTTAATTGAATTAAACTTTCTGTTTTCTGCTTCGACAATTTGTGTTTGATCACGTTTAAAATAAAAAGCAATCATTGAACATTTCATGGAAATAGAATTTCAAAATGAAAATTAACAGGCCATCCGGAGACTGTAAAGACACGGTATTACCAAGCCGGAGACGATTCTCGGTCCGGTCGAGGAAATCTTTCAGGTTGGAAATTTTCGCGACTTCCCAGTACATATAGTATCTTGTGCTTGCCGCAAAATTTTCTTATATAAATTCATGGGTTGGCATAGAAAGCTCTCAATTAATAACTGTAAAAGCTCGCTATAGAAGCGTAAAAAACATAGCGAAAGGATACCAACAGTGACCCAGAGTGAGTTGAACATAAACAACCAGCAATCCCATTTCTAGGTGATTCTGAAAGAATGTCATGTGAAAAAGGCATAGGCGTACCCTATATATGGATAATTATGGAGGTAACTTCAAGTTAATTCTTCAGAAAATTATCTAGAATTCGAAGACAATTGCAGCGTTACTCATTCACTCATGTATCCTGAACACCCCTAGTGGTATTTAGAACCAACGTGAAAGATTTCGCCTTAACCTGGGTCATGGTCAAGCTTCTGTTGACTTACCTGATTTCCTTGTTGAGGCACCTCCCGCCACAAATCCCTGGGTTTGCCTCTGCTGCGATGTTCTGTCGGGTTCCAATCCAATTGTGTATCCAATGGTGTATGGCCAATTGTGTGGCCGACTCACTTCAACTTACGTTTTCGAATTTAGGTTGACATCGGCTTTTGATAACTTCGAAAAAGATCGCAGTAGGCCGTGCTTGAAAGCAGAAGTGTTTTTCTTTTGCTGCGTACCTATTTTTCGTCAGCGAATTAATTTAAATTGTTTTTCATAGTTGAAGATGCTAATTTCAAATAACAGACTGTAGTGGTAATTTTTATACGATAGATGGAGTAGATGAAAGCATAGAGTTGATAGTTCCGTTAGAGTACGGCAGTGTGAAGATTGCATATAGATATTAGAATAGCGAGCTAGGACAACTTTTAAGGAAGGTACAAATCGGTTTTTTCATCTCTCTTTACCAAACTCCCCCTTTGGAGAGGGATGGTGAGGGGTGTCCCCCCCCCCCGCCACCACTGGCAAAAAGAGATGAAAACCGACCGCTCAAGTACCAACTGCGTGTTTGAAACAGTTTGAAACAGTTCTACCGATTTTTACCGCACTACAGTTGTTATTTGAAGGAAGGCATCCAGTCGTAGGTTTGGAAATTGCAACTATTGTTTGCTTTAAATTTGTTATTTTTTGTTCTGAAATTTTGTTTCAAGTGTTCATAAAGTTATCATTTAGTGATATATCGAGTTTTGCCTGTGTTTGCCTTGAGTGACTCGGTTGACCTTAAATCTAACCTCTAAAATATACGACGCAGTTTGGATGCTACACTTTCGGCGTGTAGTTCTATTGAGAGATCGGTCCGGTTGGTGAATTAGCCCGGGAACGTTTATAATATGTCCGTCGCGACTTTTGGTGGTGATTCGGTGGCCGACGTTGCCGTGAATCAGCAAGTTTTTCGCTTGCAAAAATGGTCGGCTGCTGGTCTCTTCCGGTGTCGGAGATTGCGAGCAATATCAAAGATGACTCGCTGGATACGCCCAAGACTGGACGGCTGGCAATTGGCGGCCGCGAACTGTTCCTGGGGAAAGCACTAGACGCAAACCTCCTCCCAGATGACCATGGCAATGCATGAAAATTTGTGTTCGTTGAAGGAAGTATTTCTACAAAGGTGCATCACGAAATGAGATACAAAGCTCAGAGAAAATCAAAATTACGGAACGCATGGATTGGAGGATCAAATTAACATGGTGAGAAAATACATTTTACAATTAAAAAAAAAAAAAAACTGACACTAAATACGTGCCAGGTTTGAAAAGAATATTTTCGAACCAGGAAGCGAGTATGTAATACGAATATCCATTTAACGGTGATGCATACATGCGGGGCTTATTGTAAGTAAAAGCACAGACAAACAGACGTAACTCTTTGAAAAACTTGTTCTTGAAAACATAGTATCTCAAAACATATAACCTCAGTAGCGACATCTCTCTGGCTTCTCGCGGAAAACAAGTTTGCTCGCTAACTCGTAAACAATATTGCATAAAAGTTCTATAGAATATATAGAAAGTTCAAAGTGATTCGATGCCAGCGCTGCGGCGAGTAGTTCGCGGAACTGATAATATTCAAATCAACCGTTAAATGCATGAACGAAGATACACAATGAAGAGTTACGTCTGTTTGTCTGTGGTAAAAGTATCCTCGGAATGGGCGTGACTCTCCAGACATTCTGAAATGGGTTGCTGGATCTACAATAGAGGTATGACTTTCTAACACCCGGACTAAAGATGTCCATAAATGCGACATTGTAGAGAGAGTTCTTCCATAATAACACTGCCGGCCAGTGGGGGTTAGGGGAATACACACACACATCGGCTTCTGATAACTTCGATGATAGATCTCAGCATTCGAGATCCACCACGAACGAATTATATCGCAGATCAGGGCAATATTGTGGGTGGGATGATTAGCGACTTGTGGTAGTGTTGGTGAGTTATTTTCTCGTTTAAGTTCATGAAAAGTTCACTATTTTGCCAAAGCAATCAACATTTGATGTGAATTTTGTGAATAAACGTGATGAGCAATTCCTCTAGCAATTCCTAAAGCACAAACTTACCATACAAATTACCAATAGTTCATTTTCTTGAACAAACTAACACTATTGGTATACGCTTTATAGAAGACCCTGTGCCTGTGTACAGCGCAGCAATAGGCAACAGCACAGTTTTCACGCTTGATTTGATAATTCGACTGCGTGCGTTGACTAATCTGCTTTGATCTTCGTGAACTCGTAAATTGTAGAGTGAATTCTAATTTCTGAAGATAAGTTTCGAGAAGTTCTATAAATTTCTAAGAATTATGCAGATTTTCAAGAAAATGCCAGATACAATCTCAATAGGGGAAACGCTCCTATAGTTGCGGTACGTTAGAAGCGTTAGGTTCCTATAATTGTGCATACACATAAGCAAGGAGCGTTTACCCTACTATACTATGAAAATTCTGAAAAGAGCTCTGAGGAAATTCTAATGAAATTCGTTATAAAATTCAATTAAAATCCTGTGAAGAGACATCACCCTACAAAAGACCCATTCCATGAAGTTCTTAACCGTGCCTTTTCAACTACATTTCTGATTTTCTGAACATCGCAGCAATAAAATTGAGGTTTTCTGTTGACAAAGCTTGAAAAACAAGTTTGAAATTATTTGAGTAAAATCGAAACATTTTTATTTCCCGGATTTTTTTTTATTAAAGCAGAAAAAAATGTTATGTTTAGTTCTCGTAGTCACGTCACATTCACGAAGTGTTTTACTTCTAGTAGCATGTATTAGTGAATATATTCATAATTATTGTCATATTATGAAGATTACTAGTGACTTGTCACGTCACATGGAATGGACCAAAAGCGCTGGCTGAAGTCGATGTATTCAGATGCAATGTATACAGTATAAGACACCACTTGCAAGCAATTTCGCGTACAATGTTGTACTTCTTGGTTGCATTGGCCAACGCCTAGCTCGTTCTTATTGGATTTCGGACATCAGTTTGGTCAATCTCAACACGCATTCGTACACAAGTTTTATTTTTTTTTATCTTTATTGTTGTTGTGGTTGTTGTTGATAATTTTCGATAAATACAAACATTATAATGTAGTAAATTGTAGGTTCAGCACACGACCCATGGTTTCCCATTTTTATTCCATTTCTTGCATACATGGTTCAGCCGTGTTTCAGTTTTGTTTTGTTTCTTTATTTGTGTTTTACTCATAGAAATATCATACTGGTACAGATACCTTAATAGTTATTGACTTTTACACACAGATAGAGGTATATTTTGCATCTTTCTGCTTTACTTTACTGTCATTGTTTACTTTCTCGTGATTGAATTGGTTGATGCATTTCTTTTGTTTTTCAACATGAAAAATAACTAATTCCTAACGTTCGGCTCGTACTGTTCTTCATTATTTTCTCGTGTTTGTTATTACCTTAATATCCTTCCTGCAGTTCTTTATTTTGATCACACACTCTTGTTTTGTTCTTTACCCTTTTTGTTTTGTCTTTTGTTTTCCTGCTTCTTTCTACAACTTTGCCCTCTCTCTCTCTCTCTTTCTCTGGGTTTCTAACTATTCTCCCTTCATCATTACACTCTGGGATAGTATAAAAGGTACCTGCTTTTCCTCTCTAGTTCTGAGTTTTATTAGTTATTTGATGACTATTTATAATGTAGTGTGTCCTTTATATAAATAGGAAATGACTTTTCGTGTTTAGTAACTAAAGATGGCTTTCAAAAAGGAAGATTTACTGGACGTTTGCCTCTTCGCCTGAATGAACGTTTGCTGTGCTGAACTAAGTAATAAAGATAAAAACAAATCTCCTGCGTTAAATGCTCTTCCACTAATCTCATTGTCTGACTCAGACATTTGATTCGTCGTTCGTTCCATTTGTTGTTTGATTGAATATAATGTTTACATAAATCATGCTTGTATACTACTTAAAAAAGTGGCTAAAATTACATACAAGTTTATAGCATAATTGAAGCAGCTGTAGCACTATGCTTTCGCCAGGAAGTTGCGCATGCAGTTCTGCTTGTTTTGCCAATGCGATTTGCAAGCAAAATTATCTGCGTGCAGAAGTGGTTTGTGTCCGGTCTACTCTGTGGCGCGTAGTAAATTAGCTTAATGTTAAATTTGTTTTTCTTCTTTCGCATATTCCCGCTTCGGAGCTCATACATACATACGTTTTTTTTTTATTCAGCGTGGATTTTGCGTTGCCTTATTATTTTGCTATCACTATATAAATCAGCTTATCAACAGTCGGAAGCTATGCCTAGCGAGATTTTGTATAAATCAGCGAAATTTACAATAGCTCTATGCAGAAATTCGTATTGTGCCTGTTGAAGAAAGCGAAATGCAATGATCAATGATCTGATGGATTTCCTTTTTTTGGTGATCTAGCGTTGAGAAAGAAGAAGAAGAAAAAGTAGTACAAGGATACTTACATATGTTTCTATCATTAAACTACGTTGTGCTCGAAGCTTTCTGACTATCGAACAGATGTCGATTCGTTTCTCGGTTTTGAGTTGCATCACAAGTATGCACATGGCAACGAATAGGGAGCTTTTGTCCGTCCCCAAGCTAGAAAGAGCATAAGGCAATTTTAGAGAATATACGATATGGTCCGATTTTTGTGTTTCCCTGAATTTTGTAAATCTGAATCATACCTGCAGTGAACAGCAATGGTGAAAATATCCTCCTGCTGGGTGCTGTGCTTCTGTGCCTGATTGACTATCTCGATCATGCCCCGGGTGACCTCCGGTACTTCACCTTCCACCGTGGGCCAGCCGTTGTACTGGAACTGAGTCACCTGGATGGTGTCTTTCGTTTTACAGTTGGTCACCGTAAACTCCCGCTTGGTGTAGTAGGGACCACTTTCGCTTTGGATGTACGTCACGAGTAGATTCTCGTACTGCATCTCCTCGTCGGCCCAGTAACGAGGACATTTGTTCGGACCATCACCGATCTGCGGAGGAGAAATTTATATTGACCACAAGCTTCGAATAGGGTATAAATTTCCCAACTAACCTCGGAGAACATGACGATTGTTTTTATCCGTTGTTCGAAGATCATCCGCCAGAAGTCGAAAATGGTATTCTCCATTGGATCCTGTGTGATGACGAAATTATTTTCATCGTCGTACCCATCAATGAAGGACGCATTAATATAGGTGCAATTGTCATGGCCAGGGATGGGCGCGAGGATCACCCGATTCTTGTCGTACGGAACACAAGTTTCGGAGCGATTCTTCGCTTTGTTCTCCTCGCAACCGCCAATGGCGGTCGTTTTGCGTGTGTCCTCTTGGAACGATTTTATTCGCTACAAAGGGAATGTAAAATTTTTACGGTTTACAGTAAAAATTGACCAGTGAGGTTTGATTTGGTAAATACCTGAAATTGTGCTTCCAGCTTGCAGATTTCAGGATCCTCAGACGATGGTTGTTTGAGATTTTCTACGGTTGTGGCTAGCGATTTTTGGTCAATCTCAGTGTCGCCAAAGTACGCTAGTTCGGTGAGGGCTCGATACAAAAATATGTATTGTTTCTGAAAATGTGGAATTACAAACAGAGATCTCGTAGATAAAGTGAGAGGCTTACCAATGACTGTACGAGAAAATTTCTTTGATATCGCATATCACAAATTGTGTTGAAGATGAACACCTGGCCCTCCTCGTTTAACTGCTGACTGAGTGAGTCTAGTGCTACAAAAGTTCCAGTTCTGCCAACGCCGGCACTACAGTGTACTAGGATTGGACCGCGTTGCAATGAGTATTCGGAGTTGATGCGTTTGATGAACTTGGTGATACCCTGTGGATGTTCCGGTGCCATGAAATCCTTCCAGGTGAGATAATGGAACTGAGAGATGTAACGGGTATCTTCGACATCTTCGCCGGATGAATTGACGCTACGTTTGGTGACCTGCAAAAATATTCGGTTAAAACATCCAGTAACTCACAAGACAGATCTTCGCTTAATGTACCTTCAGATTTCTGACTATGTAATCGGCATAGTAGCTGTCCGAAGCGAATGTGATAAGTATATCTCCATACTGGGTAGAATCGTTGATATTCTCCGGCCAGTATTTGGCGCATTTGGTCTTATTGTACTCCTCCAAATTGGTCAACATGACAATAATCTCCAGATGCTGCTCCCAAATCATACGCCAAAAGTCGTTGATCGTGCTATCCATTGGGCCCTGGGCACAGATAAACTTTTTCCGTTCCTTATAACCAATGACAAAGTTTGCATTGATATAATCCGATCCGCACAGTCCATTCATCGTAGACAGCTTGACCCGTGTCTGATCGTAGGATTTGATGTCCGGGTAGCGATTCTTGTGAATGTTCTCCTTCAGGTCAGAATACTTGGTAGTCCTATCGGCAAACTTATCCGGTAGCAGTTCAAACTCGTGCTGGAATCCATAATCGGAGTCTTTATGCTTCTCGAGGTAAGCTTTGACAAGATCTTCCTTAGATATCGGAGGAAGCACCGGTGGCTTGGCACTGTTCGTTCCAAGCAAATGTCGATGATGGGGGTTGCCATTGCGGCCGTGACAGAGAGCGCGTCTAGATATAGTAAACACACAGAAATCGATCAATGTTCAGTTGATGATCTTTCATTGACGCTTACCTTAACGAGTCTCCCAAACTGATGGCTTCGCCTTCCTGGGCGATATTTTTGCTGAAATGTTTATGCAAGAGGCAGAGAGTCAATAGGACTATTAAAACTATCAGTATCAGTCCACATAAAATCTGTATAACTATGTTGAGGATGAACGAGAGGTCTTTCCCATTCTGGTCACTGGCTGGTGGGGCTCCCGCGTTCATTTCTTGGAAGAACTCGCTAAAGGTTGAGATGTACCGTGGCCCCTGTTCACCGTCCGTTCTCACTGAAATGGTCAAATATGGAATATACATGGGTTCTTGAAACAAGTAGTCATCAATGTTAGAGCTTACCAACAACCTCCACGAAGCCAGTGTAGTTACTGGACGGATCCAGTACGCCATCAAAGGCGGTTTCCAGCTGCGGTACGGTATGCTCGTGGAAGCCGTTGGCTTCTCGCTTGTCATGACTAGATACTTTGAGTTGATCTTCAACCGGTACGGCTTCGTTGCCGGTACGTATTGCAGGGTTTGCAGTAGTGGCCGCCGAGGCATTCTGTGCCTCGTCGTCTTTGTTAATGGCTGAAATTGAAACAACATTACGTTTTCACATTGTTACATTAATCCGAATGGACAAATAACTCCTCACCACTGGGTTTCTCCACTGGAGGTAATCGTTTGTGCAAGCACTGCGGGCACATTTCCGGATTGTGGTATTCATTATTTCGGCCATCGCCGAGGAATACTTCCGAGCTGTAGTTCAAGGTGGTGAACACTTCCGCCAGATAGGTTCCCCCGCGAGTGTTATTGATTGAGTGAACTTCTGCGTAGTTTGTCACCTGGATGTTCTCTGGCTCGGGAAGCGAATAGTTTCTGTGACCCAATCGTGTCATGTAGACCTTGTAGCAACATATTGGCCCATTCCGTTCGGAAATTCGCGGTAGAATCAGTTTAAAAATCCACTGATTATCTTCGGTGCGAAGTTTTCCCCACATCAACCGGCCAATGTTGTCCGGAGTGGTGGCTGGCATCGTGCATGTAGTACTTGTCACCACTCCTGGACGCTTCGTACGTGTGAGGGCCGCTACACGTACGGTATAATTAGTGTTGGGTGGTATTCCGTCGTATTCGGCTTTAGTGTAATGAGATTGTACGTTCCTGATCTTTGGACCCCAGGTCTCGTTCTTCAGTATACCGTGCTCGCTACGGTACAATGACAAGCCTTCCAGAATGACCTGATATGATATGACCTTTCCATTAGGTTTCTTCGGTGGATTCCAATGGATTCGAACAGTGTTTCGACGTGAGATGTTATAATGTAAACAAGTGATATTGAGGTTAATTGGTTCCGACGAAACGCCATCACTGGTAGTTCCATTCACTTCCTCAGACCAGTTGCCGCAAGTTTTGGCCAACTCACTACAGGCACGTACACGGAAACTGTACTCCGTGGCAGTGTCTAGATTGTCAAACATGTACGGAAGGTTACGGCTATTTTGTACGTAGTATGTTTCCCATTTAGGGGAATTTTGGCCCGCAAGCGAAACTGTCAGGTCGTAGTATTGGATGTATTCCAGAAGTTCAGCCGGTGGTGGAGCCCATCCAATGGTGATCGTCGAATGCGTATTGCCCTTCACTTCAACGATTGGAGTGAAATTGGGATCGCTGTCCAGTGTTCGAACTTTGACAGACGGTGAAGCAGGACCACTACCTTGTCCGTTCACTGATGTCAGTTTGATCACGTAATCTGTAGAAGGTGTAAAATTTTGCAGTACAAATGAGGTATTAGAGCCATCGATCCTATTCGCATAATACGTAAACGTAGAATCATCTTTCTTCATAGACTGTGCCACATAATGTTTAATGGCATCATTTCCATCGTTGACTGTCCAATTCAGATAAATTTTGGTTGCACCCACCGCCTTTACGTAGTCTATTGAGACCTGTGGTTTATCGAGCACGAGTAAAGCCATCGCTTTCTTATCGGTAGCTGAGCTTTCGTCCAACATGGCCGAAGGACCAACATTGCAAGAGTACGTTCCATTGTGTGTTTTGCTTACGTCCTTTACTGTCAATGTTACATTAACATGCGTTTCATTCAGTACGCGTACGCTCGTATTTTTCATAAAGTTATTCTCGGTGGTATCGTCTTCCTTGAACCATTGTATCGAATTATTAAAATACTCCAATGGGTACATCTGTATCACGCAGTAAAGTTCGGCCTTGTTCTGCTGTTTGAATTTTGTCCGCTCCGGACTTGAGGCGGTAATCTTTGGTAGAATCACTTCTCGCGTTGTGTATCGGGCGATGGTTTTGCTGTCTGCACCGTGACACGTGTAGTTTCCCGTGTCGGATTTCGAGAAGTTGTGTATGGTTATGGTCGAGATGGCCCAGTTGGCGGCCACTTCTGCCGTTTCGGTGGTTTCGTCCTGTGGGGGGCCTCCATCCGAGCCGCCCGAAAGTTTTTCGACGTCTTCCTCAGTGTCGACAATCATGATGGAGACCTTGGCGCTGTAAAAAATGGTACGGTTTATAAAAGCTATCGATAGTGGTTTGAACGTTAAATTCAAGTTGTAAGCTTTACTAGACAATCAATTATTTAACGATGTCGTATTTAGCAGTGACACCGTAAGGTACTAAACCCTGGGCGCATTAATATGAGACAAACAAAACATTCAACATTATTCAAAGTACGGCATTTAAAAAAATATATTGGAAAAAAAATCAAATATTTGAGATTTTGAAATTTAAGAGAATCTGATAATTTGAGCAACATATTTTTAGTGTCAGAATCAGAAAGAGTTAAATCAGCTTTAGAAAGAAAAAAATATATACATATATCTTGGAATTAGTTTGAGGATTTATCTTTTCATCTGTTCCACCAACGACAGGGACCCAACTCTACCTGACTCCTACGTATCAAACAAATCAACGCATGGGCTGGAACCAACGGTTTTATTTTCCTTACTAAGAAATTCTCAACGAGCTCAGCTGGGATTGAACCCAGACCCACTAGGATAAGAAAACAGTCACGCTTACCATTCAACCACCAGCACCGTCTAAACCTGGCACTTGATTTTTAAAATTAGATTGTCAATCCTAGAGATTGCCAAAGACTCCGTTAATCCTTACAAAGTTGTAGAACCACTCATTTGAATCAAATTTTCTGAAGAAAACAATTTTCTATCTCTAATGGAAATTTGATACTATCTCTTTTTGTTGGTAATTTGTGAGTAATTTTCAGTAAAAATACGCCCTTTTCAGAAGAGAATTAAATGAGTTGAACAAAAATTACCTTCACAGATTTTTCACCGTAGTTGAATGAACGGTCTTTCAAATATAACTAATAAAATAAAGGGTGTCCACGATGAAATTGCCACACTATGAAATTGCACTAACTTTTTAACCGTTGGGTAGAATTTAATGAAAGTTTGGGTGGATTTAGTTCATAGTGCATTATTTACATCCTGCAAGTTTTAAAGTCCTGTGATCAAAACTCGCGGAAATGGAGTCGAAAGAACAGCTCGTGCGTGATAAAATTTTGCGCATTCATCACGAGAACAAGGATCTCTCGCATTGTTCCATCGCTAAAACGTTGGGAATCGCGAATTCCACGGTGTCGCGAGTGATTAAGCGGTTCGAGGAACGGTTGACCACCGATCGGAAGCCCAGAAGTGAAGGAAAAAATATTCCGTACAACACCAAAAATCACAACCGCGTAGTTGGGGCCTTCAACCGAAATCCGAACGCCTCCGTTAGGGATGTGGCTAAGAAGCTGCACCTAAGCCGAAGTTTTGTCCAGAAGGCCAAAACTAAGGCTGGGCTTCGAACGTTCAAGGTACAAAAGGCCCCTAATCGCGACGAGAAGCAGAACAAGTCCGCCAAAACCCGTGCCAGGAAGTTGTACCTCAACATGCTGACGAAAGTTGAGCGCTGCATCATGGACGACGAAACATATGTGAAGGCCGACTTCAAACAGATCCCCGGCAACCTGTTTTTCACGGCCAAGGATAAGTTCAGCGTTCCGGAGCATGTCCGCACTCAGAAGATGTCCAAATTTGCGAAGAAATTCCTGGTTTGGCAAGCCATCTGCACGTGCGGGAAGCGGAGTGCACCTTTCGTGACCCAGGACACGATGAACGGACAGGTGTTCATAAAAGAGTGCCTCCAGAAGCGGCTGCTTCCTCTCCTGAAGGCCCACAACGTCCCAACAATCTTCTGGCCGGATTTGGCCTCATGCCACTACTCCAAGGACGTGCTGAAGTGGTATGCGGACAATAAGGTCAATTTCGTGCCGAAAATGTTCAACCCTCCCAACACTCCGGAGCTCCGCCCCATCGAGAAGTACTGGGCGATTATGAAGCAGCACCTTCTTAAACGACCTAAGGTAGTGAAGACAGTCGAGGAACTGAAGAAAGTATGGGTTTACATGCAAAAAACGGTTGATTAACAGGTTGTGCAGAATCTTATGGCCGGGGTTAAGGCCAAGGTGCGGGCATTTGCGTATGGACTGTAAATAAAATACGAGTAAAATGGTAAAATGAAGTTTAATAGTTATTTCTCAATCCCTGAAAATTTGATGGCAATCGGATGAAAACTCGAATTTTGCGAATCAATTTTGTGTGTGGCAATTTCATCGTGGACACCCTTTAGAATTCGACTTGCGTCATTTTTAAATATAAACGTTTGATAAATACGTAGTAAATATCGTTTATAACTTTTCATCAAAAAGAGAGTGCGCCATAAAAATTTAAAAAGTGTCTATTTTGCGAAAAATGTATGTATAAGAAGTTACTGTTGAAAAATCGATTTGTAAGGGCCACCCTAAGTTACTTATTACAAATCAGTATAAATCGTGAACCATTAGAGATAGAAAATTACTTCCTTCAGCAACATTGTTTCAAATAACTTGTTCTACAACTTTGAACTGCATTACACTGGTCTATCTCGAATAACTCAAAAGTTTATATTTGGAACTCATGAAATGTATGGATGGGACCTCCCTTAGCTCAGTCGGTAAAGGAACAGCTACAAAGCAAGAACATGCTGGAGGTGGCTGGGTTCGATTCCCAAGCCGGTCTAGGAATTTTTCGGGTTGGAAAATTTCTCGACTTCCCTGGGCATAAAAGTATGATTGTACTTGCCACACAATTATACTAATGCAAAAATGGTACAGGCATCGAAAGCTCCTAATTAATAACTGTGGAAGTGCATATAGAACACTCAGTTGAGAGCACGCAATAAGCTAATATGCCATACGCAATAAACTTGAAATGCGAGGAAGAAGAAGAAGAAATGTATGGATCACCCTAAAGTCTTGCACATAAACAGATTGACCAAGATAAATGAAAAATCTTTCCCGAAGATACTATGTACCTAGAACTAAACAGTTAGACACAAACAATTTATTCAACCTAAATACGGTTTCTAAACAACTGTGCACTACTGAAACGAACTTTTGCTCCACCGGTTAAGCAATTATAAAAAAACGGACGTAAATCCTTAAAACAAAGATGTGTATTTTTAGAGCACTTACAACTGTGTAGAACATTGAAGAAATGGGAAAATTCAAACAAAAAAGTGATGGTAAAAAACGTTTTTTAAGAGAGTACTACCGTTTGCACTCCATTTTTACCCATTACTTCGGCCGTTTGAGAGATAAAAAAGTGTTGTTTTCGGCAATGTTTCTTAAAATGGCTTCATCTACAATGTTTTCATAGATGTTAATCACTTTTAACAGCACATATGAAAATTATTTGTTTTATATGAGTGTATAGCCCCCTTAAGCAACAATTTTCACCATTGAAATAAGGTACTCAAAAAATGAAGAAACATTTTAGAAGACATCAAAATGCTATAGGATAGAGCGCTACTTCGTCGTAATCGCCCATTTCCGTTCTATCGATCAGAAAAGATCAATAATATCAATGATTTCACCGTGCACAAATCAATAATAGGTTAGTTCCGATGCGTTAGTTCATTAGCTACAACATAAATCCTATTGGAGCGCATTGTATGAATATTTACGTTCATTGTTCTCAAAACAAAAGAAGCGCTCCTAGCGAATCCCCTTTTTCTTCGTTTATCCGTAGGACGAAGAAAATCTAATGGCGTTTCAATACGTTAGGACGGACTTGAAACTCGTAGAACGAATTTAGAATCAAGAAGCAGTGTTAGATTTTAGACAATATCTCAACAATTTGTGACTCTTTATCAAATCCAACGGTACGTATGGAAAGGTGAATAAATTTGCAAGTCATCTTTGACAGAAATATTCTTCTTTTTGTTTAAACTCGTTCAGAAAAGAGAGGTAAAGCGCGGGTTGTTCTTAGTATGACGGAAATTGGATCAAAAACCCTACTCAATAGTTTCGTAGCAAATGATAATGTCCCACTTTTTTTTTGGATTTTCATCCCACTGTGCACCGGTGGGGTAAAAGTTCGTTTTGAACACTATTCCGAAAAAATAGTTCTAGCTGCGAATGGACAGAAAACTCACTAAAGTTTCGTAAGAGATAATTGTAAACCTTTAATGAGGGATCCTGAGATTAATAATTTTTTTTTCAAATGAGGTCGAACTCTATTTGCTCCCAAAACTATTTATTTTACGGAGATGAACTAGACATAGGCTAAAAATCTCCTTAATAAACAACTAAAAAAAAAGAAAAAAACCAAACTATTTACTGCTTTAGAACACATGTGTGGCTGCAGCTGTAAAAATCTTGTTTACGTTTGCATTAGTGACGAACGCATCTAAAAATTTAAATGTAATCTTCTTCAAGTAATTTCTACCAAATTTTTCAACTTGTGAAATATGTCTACCAAGACAAACATTGTTTTTATGACACACACAAATATATCTACAACCAAATCGTATAAAAAGCAACAATATGGCTTCAGTGTCTTTTCAACTGTTGCCGGAACAGAAGGCAGTAGCAGCTGATCTGTCAGTGTAGATCATTGTCCCGAGTACATCATTGCCTGCAGCTCGCTCGGTCGGTGAAGCAAATTCAATCAAATTAAAATGCCTGGAGGAGTGTTCACTCGGCTGTCGACAAAAGCAGGCCACTCTCGATGTGTGCCACGCAATCGTCTGTTTTCTCGGCAGCAACCATTGTGTGGTTCTCCTCATTGTTCTTCATCAGCAGTTCTTTCAGTCGATGCGTCGTCGACTTTGGAAAGCAACCGTTTCGTGATGAGTGTGTGAGTGCTGACCACGTTTTGCGTCCAATGCTGCAATTGACGCGTTCTGACCCTCGTTGGCGTACAACAATTTGCCATACAATGAAACTACTGGAAGCGGCTCCAGTTCTGATGGAGGAGGCTTTTTGGATAGCGGAAGATAAAGTGTTTGTTGTGTTGTACCTTTTGACTATAGTTTTAAGATGTATTGTATATTGACCAAGAATCCTCGGCTCTGTAAAGTTAATTCGGTTGAGCCTTATCAAATAAATTAAGGGGGTATTCCCGATCTTTTTTTTCAAAAAATCAAATTTTTTTTTTCACGTTTTTTTGTACTTTAGACTATATACTTTCATCCCTCCAAGCCGTTTTCCGATCAGCGAATTCGGTGTCCAGGCATAGCTGACTAATGGTAAGAACCCCCAAATGGTTTTAACTAAAGTCAAAACTTTAAACGCGTTTTTCTCGAAACCACATTTTTTTTATCGGGCGAAGATTTTTCTCAGAAGAGATATTGACTTGAATCTTTGCGCATTTTGTTCCTTATTAAATTCTTTGGAGCTTCTCCCACTTTCAGCCAAAAATATTAACATTTAACATTGTTTGAAGCACCTTAAAGTTGCAAAAAAGCGGGCTAAAAATCGCCTGTTTTTTCATATGGCCGCCATTTTGTTAATTTGCAAGATTTTTTGCTGCCAACGGGAGAAGCTCCAGAGAATCTTATGCAGATTATTATTTCATCACGAAATCTGTTTCAGATGAAGCCGTTCCAGAGAAAAGTCTTCGCCCGTCCAGGCGTTTGCGGCGAACAGGGGTCTGTTTGTCGCCATTTTGTGACGTCAATAATGTCTTTTTTTATGTCGAAAAAAAAAATTATTTGTAAACTTTAATGTTCAATAAACAAGAATCCCAAAGAGTTAGGCGCATTACTATTCATTTTCCTTGAAAAAAAAAATTAATTGAAAAACAGGCCGAAAAAAGGCAAAAGATTGGGAATACCCCCTTAATGAACAAAAAAAAAATATCGCAGAAAAAAATGCCTGGAATTGAGGCCAAGATCACCGTTTGTTTTGGCTTCTAAAATGGAAGTACGAGACCATCCAAGACGCTGGACGCGAATGCTGCTGAGATGGAAGCAAGGTGTCGGATATCGGAGAAGAAAGCCTTATTCCTCAAGTTTAAGTCGGAGGAATGGAGTGTTTTATGCACGAGCGTAACTTTTCAAATCTACTTATCTGATTTTGGAATCTTTTTTTATTTTGTGTGATTGAGCTAGCAGTTGCCACATATCGTCGCATGATGTGATTGTTTACAATATCAGATACGTCGATTTTAATAGTTACTGTTACAGTGTTGATTTGATTTTCCATTATACGGATGGAAAGCCTGAAGGCCTGAAAGCAGCAAGAAATGGAAATACCGAAGGAAGGACAAAAGCAGTACGCAGGCGGTTGTGGTGGCTTGCATCATAAATAACAAAGACAAAGAACCAGAGGGAGAGGTTGAGGTACTTGATGAAGAAGTGATTGAAATGGACGTGATGTCACAGGAAGCTGAAAAGAATAGTGAAATGAAGCAAGTGATGATGCTCAAAAAACGCAAACGCATCGCATACTCGTAATTGTTATTTCTACAAATTAGGGATTTTAGACCATACGGAGAATCAGCATATAGCGTACGAAGATGAGGCCAAGCAGTGGCGCTAATAAGGGAGATACATATAGAAGAATTAAGGGAATTCCGGGCACGGCAGAAAGCAGAGGCAAAACTAATGTCGCCTCCCAGGAAAAATAAGAAGAACTCACAATTAGTGTAAGGTAAGTGTGTCAGTTATAGTACCATGCTCCAGTTTTTGACTCTAGGGCCTATAAAATTTGCAATAAATTTGCATGATTTTATTTGCATAGACAAAATACAAAAATATTGTGTCGAAAAAAAAATATTGAAAAGAATGCATTGAATTCTAACGGAATTAAAAGGAAATAAATCAACACACTCAAAAAGCTTTTTATAAAGGTATTCCATTAAGAGATTCGAAAAAATTAAAAGATTGAAAAGAATGAAAAACTTCTAAGTTTAAGATAGGGCCAATAAGGAGATCACTAAGGGAAAAAAAATTGTACACATTAAATTATTTGCTCCGTGTAGTCATTTTTAGACACTTCAGCCTTAATAAATAAACTAAATTGAAAAAAAAAAACAAAATGGCTTATACCTACAAAAGTGGAGGCCATATACCAGCCAAATTTAAAATTACTTTGTAAGCGATTTAATTTGACATCATATAAATCTCAATCTGTAATAACAAATTCAGTTTGACATGTCTTACGACTTTATCCGATTTAAAAAACTTAATAATTTTAAAAGTGATGAGGGTGAGCCAAAATTTTGAGAATGGGTAGAATTTGTTCTTCACTTTTCAAATATCCCGAAAAAATCTGGAAAATCCGTAGACTTGACCACACATACAAGACCACTCCTAAAATTCACTGATGACCTCTTATGAGAAAGTCATGGAAGTTAGCCTAAGTACCGTGCAAGCGCCATATTTTGAACGGTTAAGAAAACAGCAATTCAATCGGCTCTGAATTAAAAAAAACGAATCTCTTCAAAATTAATTTCTTCCACGGTTGTGTAGATTGATCATCTTATTTAATTTATAAAATAAATCTGGTTGTATTATTGTTTAGAAATTATTGCAAGAAACCGTTCAGCAAATCGACTAATGTGTTTTTTATTTCGAACACTCAAGGTGGGTTCACCCCGGGAACAAATTTTGAAAAAAAAAAATCTTCCAAGTTTGGCGCGGTTAGAGTCGGTGTTTAAGCGCGCGATATTTCTTAGCATGGATGTTGAAAAAGGCAGCATAACATCTCGAGAAAACTTATCATCTGTTGAGTCTAACCACATTAATTGCACAAGCAATTACAACTCAACATAAGGTGCCAATTCCGACACAAAACATCAACACGACTTGGTGTGGTTTTTATACATGTAGGGGAAACGCTCGTATATTGACCATGCTCCTATTTTGGCCATGTTTTGACGATAGTTAACGTTGTTTCAAGTCTGAGGTCTTGAGTTCTGTTAAGATTATTGATTCAAATCATATTCATCGGGGTACACCTACATATCGCCCACAAAACGCACGAATATTGTTATTCATATCAGCATTTCTTAAACCGCCCACTAATTGTGTTTAAAATACATACACCCTTAAGCTGGGTTTAGATAGGGCAAGTCAAATGATCAACTCAGTTGAATTCAATTGGCTTGAAAAGTTGAGCCTGGTTCAACTTTTTTCAATTCAAGTGAGTTGATCAAGTCAGTTGAATGGCATGGTTTACACGTTCAATTCGCGTTCAAGTCAGTTGAATTCAACTGACTTGATCAATTGACTTGCCCTATCTAAACCCAGCTTTAGAAATCTAAACTTGCTGAAATATAAAACATTATTTATGTATGCCTTGATAATTGATAGTGTTTTGGCCGGTGTTTTTTTTTTCTAGAATTTCAGATGACTCACCTACTCTCGGTAAAATTCTTCCCATCCTTCTGCCACATCGGGTTCTCCGCTCCCATAAACTTGCAGGATAAGGTGCCATTTTTGCCAGCCAAAAAGTATCGCGGTTCAGCTGAAAAGGAAGACAGTCAATCAATGTTTAATCGTTCCAAAGCCACGCAAGATTGCGAGGATCAAATTAATAGTTAATTATTATCTGATACCGAAAAAGGGGGGTAATGGGGGTAGATTCACTCAATTATCGCTTAGGAGTGATGACTTGTTGTGACACATTCACTTTCGAGTGTATTGGTAGAAGTAATGCAGTGGCGCTGGTCATATATGCAAATTGGCGACGGCAATTCACTGAATGGAGCTAGTAGTTTTTGCTAATCTTTGCGTCTATTCAAAGGCAATATCTAAGTTGAAAGGGTTAAAGGGACGTTGAAAGAAGTCCTCCCCGTTGTTGAAGATATAATAACCAGCCGCACACAAACAACTTTTATGGTGCTACACATTATACGAGAAGTCTCCCCGTCTGGAGTCGCTGCCTTCTGCCGACGACGTCTCCTGTGCATATACAACAAGAGTATAGATGCGAATGTGTATATCACCATCTAGATTACTGCGAATGAGCGAATAAGTGATTTGTTGAATGATGCGAGATAGAAAGAGAGCAACCAAGTGTTGATGTTGCGGGAGGAGTATCGAGTACAGAGGGGGAGTAGCACTGAATGAATGAAAAATGGGATTCCGATAGCGGACCGCAACCCAGATTTTATTATGAATCTAGTCCAGAAACCGACATACTCCGTTAGAATTCGATGACTGGTAACGTACCTGCACTGCCGGTAGCATCGGTCTCGGTTATTCGGTGGCCCAGGGTGTAAATACAAACAACTAGAAAGCACAAGTGGGCTTGGTTCTTCCACATTGCTCTCCCTCTTGTCGCAAGTGTGTAGAATCCTGTCGTCGTCCGTCGGTCGTGGTCCGTCCGTCTTTTCGCGTAGGGCTGCTCTCGCCGATTTATTGACTGCGTTTTGCACCGATAGCGAAACGGAAAAATGCCGGTATAGCTAGTTCACATCATTCTCGCACGTATCCCGCACCGAATCTACACAGTTTCACACATGCTGGGCCGAATTTAATCTGATTATTTTGCGACAAAATAATGGAAAACAAAAACTGAAGGAGATTTATCGAAAAGAATAATGGACACTCGCTCTCGCACTTCTATACTCTTTATTCCTTCTTTCTTTCTGCCACTGATGTCCGTATTTCTAGATGCAACCCTGTCGAAAAGTGGCGACGAGGTAGAAAGAGAGTGAACCGTCAACTTTGACGTCTCGCTGCTGTCAGAATGAAGCGAGGGACACCCGGAGATAGCGAGATTTTTTTTATTCAGAGTTACACGGATTAATAATTTTTGTTTCGTGTATAGATCAATGCGCAAAACTTAACCTAAATATCCCCGTCTCCTTTCCTCACCCGCAAATTTTGACAGTTCTGCCGGATTTGTTTTGGCTCCATTCGTTGTTATTTCATTTACTCTTATGGAGAACGGATAATAAAGGCGGGGAAAAGTGAGAATAGCTTTTGCGGGCAGTGTTTTATATTGTCGCTACAGCTGAAAACTGGAAAAACCCACTAGTGATAATCGATTTTACACTCGTTATATACGTTATACATAGTGTAAACGTGTATTATAGCGCATCATTGTATAGAACGAGAGAAAAACCATTTTTGCATTAGCGATCCCATTAGGGGTTTTCCAGTTTTCAGCTGTAACGGCAATACATACGTATAACCTGATCAAGGACTTCTCTGACGTTTGCGAAATGCTTAAGTGTGAGTGACTCTTTGGACGCTATGACGTATTTTGGCGTGATGAGTGCAATAAATGTGCAAGAATGGGGTCAGCTCCTAAGAACAATGATGTCATATGACAAACGTCAAAGAAGTCAAAGAGGAATCACAACTTGTGATAATCAAAAGAGGGGTCATCAACTTTCATTGGGGGTAAAACATATTTCTTGATTTATTTGAAAGATGTACATAACCATTGCAGGCTTGCAGGGGGAACTACAGCTATCCCCCGAAGAACGCGTTACCCACTGAGTTGCACCCACCGCTTTTTTTTTCGCCCACATGACTATAATGTTGTGCAACTTTTTAATTATCAATAAAATACACAACTTTACTGAAGACAAAAAGGTTCTAATGAAATAGCCTAATTTCAAGCATCCACAAACTTCAAAGAGGCAAAAAGGGGCAGACGGCTCCTCAATATGATGAAAATATAGTGAAAATACTACATTTTCATCTAGTAGTCATCTGTATCCCGTTGTATCCATGTGAGCTGACCAATGTTTTATTAACAGCATTCTAACCACCCACCATGTTTTGTTTGTTTGTTTTTGACATTCCAAAGCAACCCATGATCACCAGTTTTTAACTGTCATTCGAGCGGGTAGCTTCATTCTAACTTCATTCAATGGGTCTTGTCATTTATAAAAACTCTTCTGAAGACACCCTAATGAAAAAACCACTGTGAAAAATGCTAATGAAAAAAGTTCATGGATTTGGGCTTCTGCACCACTGTGAGTCGGTCTGATTTTTTGCATGTGAGTAGGGTCAATGGAGAACTAGTCACTCGCAGAAAATCAGAGCGCTTGGTTGAAAACCCACCGAGACTAAGCGGTGGGTGCAACTCAGTGGGTAGCGCGTTCTTCGGGGGAAAGCTGTATATATAAAAATATTTGGCACTGCTGCGATAGAATGGTGTGAGATGAAAAAGTAGACCGGAATAGACAAAAGGATATCTTGCAAAAAAATAGACGGGAATGTATAAAAATAGAAAGGAGTGTTTGGAATTGAAAAAACAAATATATTCTTGGAATTTTTTAATGAGTATGAGAATGTGGATTTGAGGATAAAATGAATGGAAGAGGATGTGTCATATCCCCTGTTGGCTTGCCGAAGGTTGGTTGGTTGTCTTTATTAAGGATATTTTCAGCCAGACGCTGGTTCATCTCCGGACGGCTTGCGGAAGATACTCACTAGGGCCAGAGACGATGTTTTATAAGAGAAGCGCGAATAGAATAAAAGTTAACGGCTAACTAACGGGTGTTCAATAAAAAATGAGAATGATTTCAGTGCCGTCCAGCGCTCTTGTGAGAGCGTCGCGACTAAGTTGCGTCGTACCCCGCATACAAATTAACCATAATATGACCTTATCAAAAATGGTTTATCTTCCACGCCCTTAACGTTATCTGTAATAATTATGCAACTTTACACGAATGTTTGTGGGATAAAGTTTTAACTTTACTTTGTATGGTTTTTTAGAAATGGATGATAAAAACAATGGGTTGTTAAGAACCATTACCATTCAAAATTCTTGATTTTTTCATATAGTTTCAGAATGAAAACTACAATAAAACCTTATTATCTGTGGTTCAAATCTAAATGTTATTAGTTATAGTTTATGAATAATTTAATAAAGTTTTTTTTTATTATTATATGGAGTAAAGTTTGAAAATGATTATAATTTAAACAAATAACCTTATTGGCTATCATTTGGATAAAGTTTTGATGCATAAATTCAACCATTATTTGTATGATTCATTAAAATTATGACCACAGAAAAAATGTTTCGAATTCGATAAATAAAAGATTTGTTTTAAACCAGAATTTTATTTTTATACAGATTTATCAAAAATTGACCTGAAAATAAAATTAAAATTACTTTCTACTTTGAATTCATTCAAAATATATAAAACCACGTTTCACCGACTTTAAATTCTCGGGTTTCGTGAAGCACGTTTGACAGCAGCTTTGTTAAGATTGCTGATTTTAACTGCCAGGGCCTTACGTACACGTTTTTCATCAGCGAAGTACGTAATTTGGTTTACCTTCGACGGGCCAAGACGGATGGCAACACGTTCTGAGAGTTTTTCTGTAATAAGGACAAACAATGAGCTAAATTGATATTATATAATAGCAGACGATCTTACCACATATGAATTTGTAGATCGTCGGGTCAATTTTCTCACGGGCTGGATAAAACAAAGAGCCATCATCTTTAAGCACCCTTTTGAAACGGGGCGTTGGTTTCCCCGTAACGCTCATGTTCCTGAGACGGTCCGCTCCGAAAAAATGGATCGCCAAGTTGGCCACAAACATGCTATCGGATGTTGATTGACCATCGATTGCCTTTAGTTCTTCGAGCGTGATATCGATAGCACTATCATACGTGAAGGAAACCTATAAAAAGAATATAAGAAAATAACATCCCTTATAGATATAACCTTGAATAAATTGTTAAGCACTTATGCCTTGCTCGCACTACAACCATTGTAAAATTTTATGATAATTATCATCAAGAAAAATGTCATAAAAATAGCCTTGCAATAGTAACAACATGTTATAAGACTATCTATGATGTTTTTTTTTCGTATTAACAGTTATTATAAAATTCTGTAACTCTGCAGTCTGAACATTACCCAACTTGCATCGAATATACGTTGCATCCATGGGATATATTTGTAATTAATTAGGTAATGCTATATTTATGCTACGGAGTATTGCTATGTTTAGACTACTGAGTTTAACATTGTTATAATGCTATTTTGATGACATTTTACTTGTTGATTATTATTATAACATGCAATAACTCTATAGTCTGAACATAGTTTAAAACGTATTATAATTATGGACAAGAAAAATGTCTTCAATATAGTCTTATGATATATCAGGCATAACTTTTGATAACGGCACAAAAGCAGGCCCTTTACACGCGTACCAAAGTACGCCCACGCAAACCAATACCACTTTCGGAAAGGTGATAGTTGCCCCTATCCGATGATGTTGTTGGTTTGCGTGGGCGTACTTTGGTTCACGTGTAAAGGGCCTTAGAAAGTTTGTTTACAAATGCTTTTGTGCCGTTATCAAATGTTATGCCTGATATTATAACTGCTCAATCTGAACGACATGGAACACAGTAGGAAGTTATAATCTATCTATATATATCTATCTATATATATAAAAATGAATTTCTGTCTGTCTATCTGTCTGTCTGTTTGTCTGACCCTTATAGACTCGGAAACTACTGAACCGATTGGCGTGAAAATTTGTATACAGGGGTTTTTGGGGCCGTGGAAGGTTCTTATGATGGTTCGAGACCCTCTGTAAGGGGGGGGGGGCTCCTATACAAATGAAACAGAAATTTCTGCATAACTCGAGAACTAATCAAGCAAATGGAACCAAATTAGGCATGTGGGGGCGAGTGTGGGGGTATAAGGAGATAATCATAGGGGGTAGCCCCTTAGATAATAGGAGGGGGGGGGCTACGTACAATATAGCATGCTTTTTTTTTAAATCGACGCATAAACTCAAGCTAATATTGAATCCCGAGCAAGACCGGGCACACTCAGCTAGTATGTTATAAAGCTATCTAAATATTTTTGTCTACAAAATTATTATAATATATTAAGGCTGTTGCACAGACAAACAGACATAACTCTCGCAAGTTGTTCATCGAACAAGCAGTTAACGGTCAATTTAAAAGTATCGTAGTTGGTAGTACCACCACCTGTGGCGCGCATAGTCATTTCCCTTGCGTTTGACGTTTACACACTACCGCCAGCTGTTCAGTGTACTACCCACCACAGTGTACTCAATAGATGGCGGTAATGTTTTAGCAACGATGTTTTACAGTGAGAAATAGTCAATGTGTTATGTCTGTTTGTCTGTGGCTGTTGTGCGAACACGGCATTATTATGGTTATTTTCCTATCTCACTAAAATAAACATTTAAAATCTATTATTCTGGATTTTCAATATTTCAGTTCTCACACTTTCTTCAAAATGGACTTTTTATGATATTAAAAAAAATAGATCGCTAATCTTACCGATGGTATTTTCCGGTTTTCCTTCAGATCTTGAAGTTCTCGGGACAGCGACAAAGTGTGATCGTCACGAGCCACCTTTTCTCTGTTAATATCTGCCATCACTTTTCGCAACCGTCTTATTTCCGCGTTTCGTCGTGCCAGTTCTCTCTTGAAAAACGTACACTTGTCACAATCCTCCTTAATGCTCTCTCTGATTACTCTAGCGGCTTCTTTCGAGTGTTCACCAACTACATGTTGATCGTCACGTTGGTCAACAGTAACAGCTTCTTCAGGCTGGCTCATAGTCGTACTCGCAGCAGAACATTCATCCGAGCTTTCTTCTGCAGTAGAGGCGTCTATATCCTCACGAATATCAAGAGGAGCTGCAGCTCTCTTGGGCGTTGGCTGAGCTTTGTTCGTTGATTTTTCACTCGAGCTTTCATCGGAGCTTGAATCTTGGATTTGTTCTCCAAGCGGATCTTGAGAACATTGAGTCAAGTTCTCACTTGCAACTTGACTCATCGAAACGTAAGCAACACCAGATTGCGACAGCTGATATCCATGTTGCGTCAGTTGTGCTTGTAGCTGAAAAGATAAATAAGTTAACACTATAAAATGAGTTTCATTCATAAACGATATCAGCAAGGGTTCAATACTTTTAAATAGACCGTTAAATGTTTGTTCGATGAACAAATTGTGAGTGTTATGTCTGTTTGTCTGTGGTAAAATTCACTGAAGTGTAACCATATCCCATAAGGTACGGATAATAACCCGAATGGGTTGCTATGCACTTATGCTTACATGGATATTTTCTATGTGGGAATGATGTAGAACCAAACAATGTACTTACTGCTTCGTGAATACGTGCAGAATTTGCACTGGCGGCCCTAATAAAAAATAACCATAAACGAACGATAACCCAAATCATTGAACTATTCCACAAATGGTTTGGATGATACCCAGAACACGTCGTTAAGCAAATTAACCATACAATTTTTATTAGGGAGCTGCTTCCACAACGGCGATATCGGTGGCGGAATGGGCTTGCGTTGAGGATGAAGTTTTTTTTGCTCCTGCTTGGATTACGGAAAAGTTAATTTATCATCTTACGTTTTATATACGTTTTATATATATACAATATTTAAATACGTACCTTTTTTAGCTTTTCCCGCAGCAGGAGCAGCAACACACTTCCTTTTACGAGGCGTTTACTCGGAAACTTGGCCGAAAATCGTGAAAATCGCATTAACAAAGGCCAAGATGGCCGTCCGTTCAAGCGTCTGTTCGAGATCTTTCGAGATAGCTAGATCAACATTTGAAATAGGCGAAACAGGCAAACGTAAAGAATGGCCTTAAACGAAAATTTCTCGATAATCAAAACACATCCAGCAATCTAACACCAGCATCTCATAGAGCAAACTTACTTTATCGAATGACGTTGTTAGTTTGCGTAAGTGTGTTTTAATTATCGAGAAATTATCAATTAAAGCCATTATTTACGTTTGGTTGTTCCACCTATTTCAATTGTTGGTCATCAGATAAGAGTCGGATGATAACCAGAACAGATTGTCAAATATTTCTTATGGTTATTTTGTATGCTCGTTCTCAGATGCTTGAGCAGTATTCTTATAAATTTAATGTATCCAGCTGTCACTAAAAACAGGTCTATAGCATAAATAAATCATAACTGAACTTACTTGAACGCTTTTTTTTAACCATTATTTTTTACATTCAATTATATTTGGACCATTAAACAAAAACCATTTATGGATTATTATTGATGTAGTTATCATAATGAGTAAGGTTTGAATGTCGTTTGAACCATTTTCGTAACCATTATTTTTTATTAGGGACGGCTGTCCAGGGCCCCTTTTCCAATATTCATTGACGTTTTTTGTAGTATAAACATTATGTTTTTAATAAAAAATACTGAATTTTTCGAATTTTTTTTTACTGGCTATACTACCGTTATACGCATAAGATTCCCACAGTACATAAGGATTGCATAGAACATGGGACAGTAGAGTGATGCAAAATTTGAAATTTTCGCTCCACAATACTTAAACGATTCCAAATCGGATTATGACTAACCTCTCCAAATTTGAACCCATTTGGTGAGAAACTGAGATGGCACAAACCATTTGAAGTTTGTATGGGAATTACTATGGTAAAACCAAGATTTTTGTTCATGTCTATCTAATAATTCACCATATCGGTCTACTTCAAAAGCTTTCAACTTTACTTGTAGAAAATTTTCCCAGCTACAACTTTGCTCAAGACCACTTTTTGATTAAATGCTAGGATCGAAAGTTATTGATGGTTCAATGCACAGATGTCTTATGATCATGCTCAATCAACTGCTCAGCAGGCAACATTGGTGTTTCTGGGGCGTTGAATAGGACACAAAAATCATGGCTACTATGTCACACTGCAAAATACAGTGTTGCCTACAGAGCAGCTGCTTGATCATGTCATAAGTTTACCAATCTCTTAAATAATTAATAACTATTTCCTGTCTCGTTTTACATAGAAACAATCTTCAACAAAGTTGTAGCTGAGAAAATTTTCTATAAGAATAGCTATCGAGCTGTTTTGCAGCTCAATATGGAAAAAGACTAGAAGGCAATGAACAAAAAGTTGAGATTTCCCATAGTAATTTACATGTAAACTTCAAATAGTTTGTGCGAAGTCTGTTTCTAACCAAATGAGTTGTAACTTTTGGAGACTGATCACGACCCGATTTGAAACCATTTAAGCACTGTGGAGCGAAAAAGTCAAATTTTGCATCAGTCTAATGGGACAGTTATGCGTATAACGGCAGTATATGACTGAAAAAATTATAATTTTTTATTAAACACCCGTTAAGTTATTTTGTCTGCAAGGTTTGGCAACCCGCACTTTTGTGTTTACTTTGAATGACTTTTAATTCCAGCGACTGAAGTTTGCAGCAGCTGGATTGTGACTATGAAACGAATACTTTTTTGATCGTATCGGTAGTAATGCCATTGAAATGAACGACATCCTTCTATTAAAATTAACCGAATAAAACGTTAAACAATGTTAGTCTTTCTGGTTTCTTAAAGATAGCGTCATTTGTCGGCTTCCTTCGATCAAAGCGTGACGGAAAACTCTTAAATATGTAGGAGGATGAGAAAATAACTAATGAATGCCTAATACTGATCTGATACCAAAATTAAGTGTTGATTGGCATGGCATAAGAGGTAAAATAAGAAAGAATAACACCAAAAAATTGCATGCAAAATACTTTGTAAATAACAAAAATTTATATCTAGATATCAACATAATACCTGTGCGGTATTGTTTTGGTATTGCATTTGCATCATTTGGTATTGGATTGGTATTGTGGAAACATTTATTGGTATTATTTTTTGGTAGGCTCATCCATACCATTAGCAGCTCCGGGTACAGTTCCTGTTTTTTTAATTGTTGCGGATTTTAACTGAGGAACATAGAATGAAAATTATGATAATGCAAAAGATAATAATAGGCCTGACTTGAGATGGTTTATACTTTTAATACGCAAACTTAATAGAATTATTTAAATCTCAAAAAATAAATTTCAACCTCAATCTCAATACAACCCACGCTTTTTCTTGTGAAGCGCTCTTGTTAATTTACATTGCTCTTCTTCTTCTTCTTCTTCTTCTTCTTCTTCTTCTTCTTCTTCTTCTTATGTCCTTTATTTAATGTCGGTCAATATAGTGCCAATCACCGACGGACATCGATTGCCATCCATTGACGGTAATCGAATGTGCAGGAAGGCTTCCAACGGATTTACTTCCCTTCCGAAAGAAGACGTGACCAGTGATTTTTATGCCTCAGAAAAATCCCACCGACCTCGGCTGGGATTGAACCCAGACCCATTGGGGTGAGAAAGTAGTCACGCTTTCTACTACACCACCTGGGCCAATTACATTGCTCGATTGGAACCGCTTTTGACGGTTCGATTGGAGCTTTTGGTTTCAGTCTTCGCGCGTCTCTGACTAGCAGCGTTGCCAGTATTCAAGATTTATCTCCATTTTCCAGATTTTAAGTCGTCTTACTAGATACACCTTGGTCTTGGTATATTTACAGATTTTTTAAAAATGTTTCAGATTTTCCCAGATTTTTTTTAAATATGTTGCTTATATCCCTGCAATTTATTTACCCTCTAATCAAAAAATAAAAAGACAAACTTGCTACTTTAATTATTAAAGGTCATTAACGTTGGACATTATTGGAATTCTAAGGTAATTCTGAAAATAGTTTACAGTGAAGTGTGAGGCGAAACTCCTTGTGATATGAAAGGAGACTTTGAGAATGTTAAACATATAAAGTTTGGGTGTTATCAAGATTATTTTAGGGGAATCCAGAAAATAAGATGATGGAATGTGATATAATATGATCATTCAAATGGAACTAAAAAAAGGAAGATGAAGATATCCTGTGAAGAGTTCCAAGTAAATTCAGACTAACAAAAAAAATTCATGATCTGAGAACCAGGAAAAATATAAATTCCAGAATTTAGAATCATCCTAAGACTTCAAAAATAACGCTATCAGACTTTCATGTGAGTAAATAACCCCCCTCCCCCCGCATAGACAACTGTCCATACATTTTTTTGGAAATTTGTATGGACCGTAGACATTTGTTCACCCCGACCGATGACTGTTTCATTGATAGATGATTTTTGACGTAGAACTACGTCTTTGTCGACTATACTGGGGTGCAATTTAAAAAATATGTGTGGTGAAGGAGTGTTAGATTTTGAACGCTTGTAACTTTGTCATTTATAGATGAAATTAAATCAAAATACGCCAATCGATAGGATATTACATTACAAACCTGCTGAAATAAATATTTTTCCATTTTTCTGTAATTAAACTTTTGAAAATGTACAAATGATAATTTTATAACTGTTTTCATGAAATAAGCCTTTTTCCCAAACCCAGTCATCATAAACGAATACCACTTGGTTGCACATCATTCTACTTGAACCTGAAAAGATATAAATCGCAGTGCTGCTCTCCTGCCTCTGCTCATAACCGCTTCGGACGGCGTGGCACTAGGTCCTGCAGCAAGCAGGACTAAGTCAGCGGCTAAAGGTGGATCACGGCGTGCCCACCACAATGAGGAATAAGACTTGAAAAAACGTGCATGTAAAACCCCCTCCCCCTTAATACCTCTCTCCCTTCCCCCTTAACATAACCCGAAAAAGACATGGACTTTGACCAGCCCAGTGGCAGGCGCGTAGGCAACATGTTATACCGTGACAGCGGGCCCAGCACAGCAAAATAAATTATTTGAGCCCGGGACATGCTCCCTACTGTCAAACGCTGCTGTTGGTATAGGCCTTGTCACTGACTTTGACGATCATTTTTTTCCGGGAAATAAATTTTAAGCAAACCACAATTTATGTGTAAACAATTATTTTTTTACATGCAGAGCCAACATTTTCAAAAAAAAAATTGCTTAACAGGAGACATGCACTCGATGAACCAACAACTGACTGTAAAACATATTTGGTACCTCTATATATGCAATCATATTAACATCCAAATCCATCGAGAAATGAAAGAAGATTTTTCGAAGATTGATTCTCTAGTGTGAGATTTGTTGAGCATCTAGAATTGAGATTTAGATGTGTCACCCCCTCGGTTCTACGTCATACTGCGGTCGTGTCTAGGACACAACCCTTTAATTTTTTTTTAGAAATATGAATCCTCAGTAGACGTGTTTTTTTATCAAAGGCAACCCAACAAACATTGAAAATTGAATTAGAGCTTATTCAAGCAACAATTAGCTTCTTCATGTAAAAAACTGCTTATTCAGCTTTTAATCAACACAAGTCAGTGGTGGCGGGGGGGCACCCCTCACCATCACTCTCCAAAGGGGGAGTTTGGTAAAGAGAGATGATAAAACCGATGTGTACCTTCCTAAAGCTGTCGTAGCTCGCTTTCAACTCTCTATATGCAATTTTTCACACTGCCGTACT